CCCCAAAACCCCAAAACCCCAAAACCCCAAAACCCCAAATATTTATGAAAATCTTGAGGTTTTTATATAAAAATGGGAAAGGAATTCTTCATCCTTTTGGCCCTAGCAGTTGTGATGCATGGTGCTTTGGCAGGGCTTTCTAGAAATGATTATGATAATAGGTACAAAATTTCTGAAGAGAGATATGAAGAACTTAAGCAAGAAGGACATCAGGAGAACCAGAAAATTATCCACATCGTCCCTCACACCCACGATGACGCTGGATGGCTCAAAACAGTCGATGAGTACTACTCCGGTGACAAAGACGACATCGCCTTGGCTGGTGTTGAATACATCCTTGACGGAATCTACGACACTCTTATGAAGAACCCTGACCGTAAATTCACTTATGTCGAGATGGTCTTCTTCACTAAATGGTGGAACGAACAAACACAAGAGGTGAAAGAGAACGTGAAAATGTTGGTAGAGCAAGGAAGATTGGCCTTTGTGAATGGTGGATGGACTATGAGTGATGAAGCGAATGTGAATTATGAAGATTTTATTAATAATATGAAGGCTGGCCATGACTTTTTAAAGGAAACTTTTGATTTTAAGCCGACTATTGGGTGGCATGTTGATCCTTTTGGTCATCAATCAGCCACAGCTGCTCTTTTTGCTGAAATGGGATTTGATGCCTGGTTCTTTGCAAGAGGCGACTATCAAGATAAGGAAATTCGTATGGAAGACAAATCTTTGGAATTCTTATGGAGACCCTTTTATGAAAATCTAGGAAATCGCACTGAGATATTCACCCATTGGATGTTTGATATGTACTTTTCTCCAGCTAATTTTACGTTTGAGGAACTATGGGGAAATAGTCCTATAGTTGACGATCCAAATCTGAGAACCTATAATTTAGATGAAAGGTTAGAAGAATTCGAACTCTTGATGAGAGACAGAGCTAGTCATTACAAGACAGACCATATCTTAGCTGTTTTCGGTCAAGATTTTGCATATTTGAATGCTCAAAAATCTTTTAAAAACATTGATAAGCTGATTTATCACTTTAATAAGAAATATAGCCATATGAAGTTGGTTTATAGCACCCCTTATGATTATGTGAAGGCTGTTCATGAGTCCAAGGTAAAGTTGCCTGTGCAATATGATGACATGTTACCTTACGCATCAAGTCCTCATGATTATTGGACTGGATATTATACAAGTCGGGCAAACTTTAAGAGTCTTGTTAAATACTCCTCTGAAAAATTTAATTCTTACTCAACTCTATTTGCTGAAGATTCTTTGATCGATCATTCTGAGGAAGAAGAAATTCAGCTAATGGATACTTATACTGAGTTTTACCACAAGATGGGTCTCGTCCAACATCATGACGCAGTAGCAGGAACTGCAAAGAAAAGAGTTATGGATGATTACTCTGATCAGCTTTATTATTCAGTTAAAGGAGCCACAGGTCAGATCTTCAAAACTTTTGGAAATCTGCATGACTTAGATCCTCGTGACTTCAGCATGTGAATTGAAAGGAACTCGTCTCTTCCTGATTGCCCTACTAATTACTTTGATAAATATGATACATTAGATTTGTATATCACAAGTCCCGTTAGAGACATGACTATGATGCCAAGGATTCCCTTACCAGATGGAAATTTCACATTTGAGTGGGATGGAGGCCAACCTGATATCACTTGTGATGGCCCAATGACAACTTATGCATTTTTGCCTGTTGATATTAAAAGAGGAGAAACTATCCAGATTAGGATTCATAGAGACACTATTTCTCATTGTGTTGATCTCCTTGATCCCTATACTCCCATTGAAATGGAGCATATTAGTGTATCATACCTTGGAGAAAATGAAGCTGGAGAGAGTCAGTTTAGCTATCATAACAAAGACACAGGAGTGTCTGAAAAGATATCCACTTCTTTAATGGCTTATGATTCTTTCCAGAATACTTCTGAACATGTTTCTGGTGCTTATATCTTCAGACCAGAACATGAAGATGGGCAAGCTTACTCATTCAGAAATGAAATCACTAAGAGGGAGCTTTTCTGTGGCAAAAATGTATGTATCCTCTTAATGTTTGGAGATACAGTTATCAATAACATCATTTTTAATAACTTCAATGATTTTATCAGATTGGAAACAGTCTTTATGGGTATCCCTTACAGCGAGCAAGGAAAAGAAGTTGTCATGAGGATCCGTGCAGAAAGTATTCAAAATGATGGCGTGTTTTACACAGATTCTATGGGTCTTGAGCTCCAGAAAAGAGTCGTTAATGAAAGACCATACTGGAACCTTGATGTAAACGAACCTGTTGCAGGAAATTATTACCCAGTCAATAACTTAATTAGGATTACAGACAATAATACTGCTCTTGAGGTGATCAATGACAGACCACAAGGAGGTACTAGTCTAAAAGATGGAGAAATTGAGCTAATGGTGCAGAGAAGGCTTTATGTTGATGATGAAAAAGGAGTTAATGAGCCTCTTAATGAATCTGATGATGGAACTCCTGAAGGTCCCGGTGCTAAAGTGAAATTATATACCTACTTTAGAATAACCACTCCAAACCCTCCTGAGCCAATTAGTATTGCAAAAGTTGATCTTGAAAGCCCAGCTGTTGAGATATTTGATTTTTCACCTTCTGAAGAACCTCCTAGAAGATTTTCTAGCACAAAGTGATCATATCCAAGAGAGCTAAAAATTCTGTCATTCCCTGAAGGAAATGGCACTGTCTTTTTCAGAATTGAAAATATTTTGGAAAAGAAGATCAGAGATGAGACTTTCAGAGTTGATGCTACAAAAATTGCTCAAGAGCTCTCTAACCTTGAGATAGACTCACTTGTAGAGACCTCTCTTACAGGAGTTTTCACAATTGATGAACTCCAATCAAGACTAAAGTGGGAAGGAGAAGACTTTACTTCTCCAAGAACTGATTATTCTTCTGACTTGAGTAACATCACTCTTGAGCCACAAAGAATAAGATCTTTCAGGGTAAAGTTTAAGAAACCCTCAGTGGTTAGCTTCAGCTCCTAAATCTCCCCTAAAAAGTTCCAAAATTTTTGTTGTCAAAATTCATTGAAAGTCCAAGGATTTTCAATAATTTAGAATTTTAGGGGTTTTGGGGTTTTGGGGTTTTGGGGTTTTGGGG